GGTTGGTTTGTTGGGTTTTGTTGTTGTTTTTTGTTGTTTTTTTATAATTTGAGGCCAATGCTTATTGTTAACAAGTTGACAATACAGAACATGCCAGTGGGTGGTTGGCCGGTGCTCTGGTGTGGTTTGCTCCTTCTTTCCTATCAAATATCTATCATCCTTATCTCTCCTCCTTCTCTTTTTGTGTTTGTTACTCTCTTGTAACACTTCTAATCTTCGGCACTTACTTGACATTATTGTGTTGCAAGTGCCGTAAAACACAAAAACAAAATATCTATTGTCCTTATCTCTCCTTTTTGCGTATGTTAGTCTCTCATAACACCTCTAATCGTCATAATTTATTACCTGTGTGCAAGTGCCGTAAAACTTATTGAAACTAAGAACTTGCTACAGGCCTGTAAAACATCAAACGTACAGCAGCAGTTCACGATGAGAATATTATTTTTGCCACACGGGGGCAAGAAATGGACATTGATGTTAACGTGACCGACTTTTGATGAAAAGATTAGAAAGTCACCAGTTGTGTGGAACGGTGATTGCATTTTCCCCCCATGCCCTAACAAATGAAAAAGTTGCCGCAGATTTCACTAGCCTGGTGTGCAGAGAAGCGGAACCTTGGTCGGCCAAGGAAGAACGGGCGGTCTTGTTTTGCTTTACCCCCTCCTCAGCGCGCGCGGGAGTCGACTTTGTGGGACTTGGTCCATTGTGTGCGTGGTGCACCCACTCCACCACCACAGGACAACCCCTTCCTGTAAGCTCCCGGCTTCCCTGTTGTGTTCTCGCCGCCATTCACCTGCGTGCGAGCGCGCGGGATTGAGATGCCGCGCGGATCTCTTTAGCTCACTCAACGACGCTCCAGTTTCTTTCTTTCTCTCTTCCCTCGTCTGTATTCTCTTCTTCCGCACATGGTATCCCCGTTTCGCACCAGCACCCCCTGCACTCCCCTTCACCGACCAAGCCACAACGCCAGTAGTTCTCATTCTGTTGACCCGCGATGCGTCGTTTCTGTGCGGATTAAACGCGTGTTTCTCTTGGAGGAAATTGGCTTTGCTGTACTTCACCCCCCCCCCCCCACTCTGGGGCCAACCGCTGTTCGTAGTATGTTGGTGTGGTGATTTACTCGAATCACGCCCCTTCAGAGAGTCCGTGCGTGTGTGTGTATGCCGTGTCAGACGCTTGTGGAAGATTATGGAGCCTGCCTCGTGAGCTGAGTGATAACGGACAGATTCACGTGTAATGGGAAATAAATTCTTTCGCCACTTGATGCCCATACATTCATGGACGTGTTGCGCAAGTTTTCGTTTGTGTGGAGACCGATTTTGACAAGCCGCAGATTATTGCGGATTTTCGAGTAATAATTTTTTCGATTGCTGAAACACATAGATCTTCCTCAATGAAGCGTGAAACAAGTTTTCTTTACACAGGCTAGTGGGGGTTTTTTGTCAGAGAATGTACTGTTGCTTGTGGTTTTCTGGGAATAGAGGAATTGCTGCTGTGTAATCTTATGTCATTGGGATTCGACTGTCCTATATGGCTGTTGCACTTGTTGTTCTGAATCAACTTCATGGCTCTGGTTTCGGTTTGTTTGTCGCCCATCTTTGTCACGCTCTAGTACTCTTGTAACCTACTCATCCCTAAAGAGTTGCTTCGATATCCTGTAAAAAGCTTGATTTCTTCTGTGCTTACACTCAGTCTCATAGTTGAAATTCATTTTGTTTTAGTAAAACTTTTCCTTCATAATATTGTTATTATACAGGGTATTTATACGGGGCCTATATAATTAAAAGATTTCGTATGGTTCTTTTTTTAAAAAGGAGCCTATTTTTACGCCAAATGAAGTTTCTGTGGACATAACAATTTCCAATGTATACTACGTGTTTTTTTTATAGTACATGTACGTCTCAAGTCTCATGTAATTCCAATATTTAATTTGTTTGGAAAAAAGTTCTAATGAAATTCTTTTTTGGTGTCGATAACAATATAGCAAAGAATTTAGACATTTGTAATACCTATTTATTGAATGGGTGTCTTTCATTACTTTCCCGGCTTGCTCCATTGGTAGAACACTGGGACCAAAATTTATAAGGAAAAAATAATAATTCTGTAGAAAACTGAGGAGCGTCACTGTTGACAAGCTCGAATGTAGCGCTGCCTCTACTGCGCCTCTAGTCTACATTTAAATGTATTGACGATTTTCTGTATCATTCTGTACCAGACCACATTTTAATAGCCAGGGACGATCTTGTTCCATTGTCGGTTGGACGTGTGAAAGTCCTCTATCAGGCCATTGGTGGTACCAAGCCTTTGTCACAGTTGTGGATATCACCTTCATAAATATTGGATATCTCATTCACAATTATTAGAAAACATTGCTTTGTCCCATTGACTTCGAGGACTAGTGATGGGTAATCAGGTGTCCAGGTGCGCCCACAGCATGCGCAAGTTATGGCGGCCGTGTGCTGGGAAACGACCTGAGGACGAGGCCATGCTCAACACATGTGACAGCGAGCCTCTGGACAAGCCCTTGTGCGACACCTCTGTGTCTGGCGGTTGCCGGGACAGCCGTAGCCGTAGCTGTAGCCGTGATGGCAGCCACGCCTCGCTAGTCCGGCTCCACGACAAGATGGAGCGCGTGGACTGCCGCATCACTTCGGCGACTAACGTCTCTTCGGGTACCACGACGTCCACGCCCAAATGCGGTCGCTTTCGGTTCTGCTCGTCCGGGAACAACAAGAACCACCACCAGAACCATCACGTGAACCCGGGATACCGGAGTTTGACGTCATGCTGCGACGCTGATGACTATGAGGACGAGGGGAACGGCGGCGGCGACTGCGGCACGACTCGCTCTGCGTCCTCGGCGGCG